GGGTAAGGTGGAAGAGAGAAAGACTGATACAAGGGGAGAGAACCGAGTGCTGACGAGTGAAATAAGTAGTGTCACTGGGATTCTCTTCTTGTGATATAACAGTTGCAATGTTTCATAATTTTTCTGAAGTAATTCTTCATCATCATCCGGTGCCTTGCCGACTGGCGTGGGCGATCATGGACCTCCACTTCACTCTGTTTTGCGTTGCAGCCAAAGTGTCTGTTGTTCTTGCTTCTCCTAGCCGTGTTGTCATCTTGTCCAGTATCTTTCCCCTCTGTCTGCCTCTGCCTCTCTTTCCATCAAACTTGTCTGTTGTTACAATATTCTCCAATGCTTCTTTCCGCATTGTGTGTCCGAAGACATTTGCCTGTCGCTTTCTTATATTCGTCATAAGCTGTCTTCTACAATTTGCTTCAACCAAGACTTCTTCATTTGTTTTTCTAGCTATCCACGGGATACGTAACATGCGTCTTATGAACCACAACTCTGTCGCCACAATTGTTCTTTCCAGCTGTTTATTAATTGTCCGTGCTGCGCACCCGTATAATAGAATTGGCTTGATGTAACTTTTCAGGACTCTTTTTCTCGTTTCCAGTGACAGATTGATGTTTGTTTGTAGCTACCCTACATAATGTAGGCCGTTCCACTGTCCGCCACCTGTGGACACGGTGGGTCAAGGATGGTCGCCCCAGCTTTACCCACAATTATTCATTAGAGCATGGTAACTTTTGGGCGTTATCGTCAGACTCAAGTAAAAAAAAAGAAACGCAGTTCCGAGACTTGCATCAATCAACATAGTGAGTGGATGATTTATTCAACCAAATCTCGACAGCATAATTGTATTATTGATTTATTGACACAAAGTGACATTTTCACTCAAAAGTGCACCCGTGTTTTAAAATCATAATTGAGACATTCAGAAAAAGCTTTCGTAATTGTAATTTGTTTGCTTGATGTTGTTATGATTTTTGTTTCTATTTGATTCTTTTGGGATGGAAAAAGGGGGGGGGGGCAGGGTACACACATCGAAGGTCCTTTCGAAGCCTCCTATAAGAATAAAGAAAAAACAAAACAAAAGTAAATAAATTAGTGCCTATTTTATTACTATCCTTGTGGGGAATTTTTGAGGAACAAAGACATATACAATGAAAACAAGTATCAATTCAAAGATTACATGAGCAGCCAAACGCACAACATATTTATAGAAAGCATAAATAACTCGCCATTGTTGGTCACCAACGTACGTCTTGTTTGTTTCTCTTTTTCTTAGCCAGATCTTTTTATTGAAAATTACCGAAGGACACACCCCGAGATCACGCGCCTAATGTATGCTGTGTCATCGTTGCTTATCATTATTGAGAAGACAGCTCGCTAATCGCTCAGAGATTGGGGCCCTGCCCTATGATGGCGCAGTATCTATCCGGAGACGTCTCCGACGGAGATAGACCAATCAAAATGCCCTGTGCCTCTAAACCATGTAAAACAAATCTGGGGGGTTACACGAGGGCATGACCCCCTTTCCCTCCCGTTTTAACCCATAATTCTGCAGTTAAGTTTGAAATTTTCTCGAAAACAATTTATTTGCGACAGTTTTAATGGTTATATGTGTGATCTGCAGCAAACAATACGCAGTTTGACCCCCAAAGCTGGGAATCTGTGTGCGGGAGTGCGTCCCTGAATAGTTCCTGGGTGCTCGCCGAAGACGTCTCCGAATATCTTCTACCGGATATGGATAGGTTGTTGCTCTTTTTAAAAAGAATCTTCATTCAGTTGTCTCGAATGGAAAGCAAGTTTTTATTTTTTATTTCAGCAACAATGACGATCCACGCGTAAAATGCGACATACATTTGAGCATGTTTTAATGATAGTTATGATTTTCAGTCTTGAGGATCGGACACTCAGTTGTATGCTGAATCCAGATAGGTGTAATTAGTTAGTGAGGTAGATATTTATGTGTTAGACAGACAGGGCAGGCATATATACATACAGGCATACAAACTGACAGATAGACAGACATACAAACAGACAAGCTGGCAGTATATGTTTTACTTCAGATATACAGATAAGCAGTCTGGGAAACAGATAATGCTGTAGTTGTTGCTTTTGATTTCGTTGTTGTTATTGCTGTCGCTGTTTCTACAGCTATTGCTACTATTGCTGTTGTAGAAGTCAAAGTAGTCAACAGGTATTTATTGAGAACAAAAGGCAAGCAGAAACATAATGACAAGGACAATGCTCACAACTCTTATGTAGACATCTTAATGCTATTTCATGATTACGGCTGCTAAAGAAATAACTAGATCTAGGTAATTATAAAGATGATGAAGATGTAACGAACAAACACAACTAGCTTATACCATCACAATGCAGTGTATCATTACATGATAATATCTTAATAGTATGCATAATATGGGACAATAGACAACATCCCCGCTTCAACACGGAGACTTAAGGGCGGGGAGAGGGGTACATCCACAAAGTCCCGATTCTGCTCAAAATTATGGAATTTGAGTTGTAGGCATTTTTAGCTTCCCCAGCCTCTCCTACAACTGTTTCATCCCATAATTACTCATAAAAAAGCAATATTTCTTCCCACACTGGGCATGTTTGTCACCACCATAAAGTCACTTCTTGACTTACTTTGAAATATGTCTTCGTAAATTTTTTAAAATATATTGAATAATAATCATAATACAGGCTTATTTCCAAGTGGACAGTTTCTATTGCCGCTGTGCATATATTTTGACATCCTGCCTCCAAAACAAATTCATGATAAAATAATACACCAAAATATTTGTCTCTATTTGGTTGTATTTCCTGTTCTTGATGAGTGTTTTTAAAAAAAATCGATATCAGAGTCAATGTTTAGCATGCCATGTTAGAAGTTGTGGCTTTTGAACAAACGTTTAGTAATACCGGGCCAACGGATGACTATCTGGTCAGCAACCCGGGTTAAAGAGGCAGCCAGATATTCGACTGTTTGTTATTGTTAGAATCCTTTCCACTTCTTTCGTGTGATAATCTTGATCTCTCTCAGGGTGAGGCACAAATCTGATTCCTTCTCTTCACATACAGAGACGAAATTTTGAAGCTAATGTCTGTCACCTTCCTTAACTCTTAATAAAGGTGAGCCTTTTAAAAGATTGGGGGAGGGGGTGCTTCTAAAGTGGTGACATGGGTAGTAGAATCTATTACTAATGCATATCCTGTTTTTATATGGTTAAATATAAGATGGACTCTCAATACCCTGTCAAACAAATCAACCTTTGCCCTTGAAAAGGATGAACAAATCTACAGTACAATTTGACCGTCGGGATCATAAAATCAAGGGACATAACCAAATATTTCCGTCTGATTATTTATTTTTAGTATTCTCCATTGATTCTTTTTATTGAAAGAAACAAAAAAACCCTTCTTATGAGTACTGTAGAAACGAAATCAAGATTGAGTTTCTCTTTCGGTCCAACTAAGTCGTGTCAAAAAAGGCGGCGACGGCGAAGGGGTAAGATGTTACCATTGTTCTACGGAATTCTGTCTTTCTATTTTTTTACTTGGGGGGTTACATTCGAAAAACATAACCCTTTCTTCTAGAAACATAATCTTTTCTTTTCGTGAAAAATAATATGTTGACAATATAATATGGAGAAGAGTAATTAGTGTTTGTGCACCTTGTAGGTAATAGGCGTGTATTTATTACTAAATTCGGCCTTAATTCAAGCACTTTACGAAATGGCAAGCGCATTTAAAAGTATCTATCCAGCCACTAAAAGTAACAGATCTCTAACCATATTATAAGAATACAACAGGGTCTGCTGTAGCAGTCCTCTTTCGCTTTAGGCCTTTGTTTCATAATGTCGCTTTCGGAGACCACAACGAAATGGCTCGGGAGCTTTGATAACGTTCCCGTCAGGCCAGTCTCGTGGGTCCTCGGAAGGCAGTGGGACTCCTTCTAAGGGGAAAAACTCGAAATTGTTCAGTAGGGTAGCCACGATGAGGAACAGCCGAGACTTGGAGAACGTCTCCCCGGGACACTGTCGACTTCCAGCACCAAACGCCACCAAGTTCATCCGAACGGGATGGTTGGAGGCCAGGAGCTCGCCTTTCTCATTCAGGAATCTCTCCGGCTTGAATGTCCAGGGGTCTTCCCACAAGTCCTCGCGTCTGTGACAATGCCAGGCATTCATCACAAGAACAGAGTTCCGTGGTATATGCATCCCTTCGAATGAAATATCTGTCCGTGTATAGTGAGGCAGGAGGAAAGGACTAACAGTGGTGTATCTCAGAGTCTCTAGGATTGTGGCCTCGACGTAGGGAAGTTGGGACCTGTGTAGTAATTGGGGCGTTTCCTCAGCGCCGACGACACCAGCTATCTCAGTGTACATTTTTTCTTGGATGTCTGGGTGCTGTAATAAGATGAGAAAGAGAGTGCTGACGGTGCTGGTGCTGCTGACATAAGCTGCTGCGGTTGTTTCGCAGATGGAAGCTTTAATAGTGTCATCGGTAATGGTGAAATCGTCCCCACTTTCTAGTAGTTCTGCTTGTGCTGTCAAAAGATAGTCTACAATGCCCCGCTCCTGGTCCTTACTGTATGTGTTTTTCATGTCGTGGAAATAGTGCTCCATGACGTCGTCGCGAGCCTGAAGCAAAGTTTCATACTTTCGCTTAAATGGGAGGCCCGGAACTTTTCTTAAAAAGGGGAAGCATTGTAGTACAGTCTCGATTTCAAAGACGAAGAACTGCTCCCACTTACGGTTGAAGTGTCTAAGCACGTTCATGCTCTCTTGGGACTTTGATGTGAGATCACCTGCTAAAAGAATATAAATCATTTCTAGAACCGTATCAGAGACAAGGTCAGTTAGCTCAATCTCGCTCTTGTTTTTCATGTGTTCTGTCAGTTTGGATAAAACTTTGACGATGATGCCTTCGATACGGCACACATTTTCCCCGTAAAATTTCAAGACGCGGTGAAAAACTTTTCTCCTCTGCTGCTGTACCGATGTGCGATGTGTAAAGGCCATATTGTGGGTGTCATACACAATGTACTTCCCGATAAAGGAGGGGGGTCTGTCGTTGGAGAAACGTTTGATGTCGTTGTCGCTGAAGAGCTTGCGTATCGTCTTGGGATTGTTCAGAAAGATTGTGGCTTGGCTTCCAAGAGTGACCTGTAAGGTGCAGAAATAGCCGTTATAATTCTTTACAGCGTACAGTTATAATAAGTACGCTGAGTAAATCGTAAATGTTCTCAAAGGCAGTATAACCATAACAACAACTACATTTTTCAACAACAATAACAAGAACAGCATTAATAATAATAATAATAGATAATAGATAGCATTTGTATAGCGCATATCCCCGCTCAACAGCAGGCTCTATGCGCTTTACACTATATTATTATTCCAGCAGACCATAGAACACTCAGAAACATTCTCAGCTTCCCGGGAAGCATACATTAACAGCAGAAAATGTCATATGACATAAAGTTGGAAATACATCTGCGTACAAAAACATCTCCAACAAAGTAGCATAAATATAAAATCAAAAGCAACAACAAAATCGACAGCATAATTACCAACGGCAGTATTACGATACCAACTAACTACTTCTGCGAGGGTCTACCTGAGCTGAGAGCGAAACACTGCTGTCTCATCAGAAAGACTGAGATGGTCAATAAACATTGTCCCTACGTAGGAATTGAACCAGGGTTTTCTGCGTGACGCAATGAAGCGCGGACAGCTAGATCTACATCACAGAAGTAGGGGATGGATGGGGACAGAAAACCTTTGCAGTATGAATGGAGATCATGGGCAAACTCATCTTCACTCTTCTCCACGCTGGAACCAAAGTCTATCTTTTGTGCAAAACAGCAACGAGCCTAGTCATCATACCACAGACGCCAGTAATGTAAACATTGTTCAGGACATTTTTCTGCTAAAAAGCGAGACAAAGAAAACTTGAATGAAATTTCCATGAAGGTCGAGATATTTCACTCATACCACGTATTTTCTTTTCAGTTGGAGTTGAGGGAAGGCCTAGAAAATCTAAATCGATATTACGTATTTAAATACCAAAATGTCAAATAATTATTCCGAATAAAACTAGTCAAGTTAACGACAGTGAAAATGCTTATAATCAAATCATGTACACACCTGCGTACAAAATGACAACCTGCTTACGACTTTTAAGAAATAGGTCAAGGTAAAAGCTCCAGCAACTTATATCTGTAATCAAGAACCCCAAGACGTGGTTACAGTCACATACTTCTCTGTCTCTCCCCCCCCCCTTTCTCTCTCTCTCTCTCTCTCT